GTCTGTGTTGTAATATCACTTTGTTTGTGTGCTGTACTTCCCCGTTAAGTAGACTTTAATGAGGGTCCATACAACATGTCTACACATGACTGGCTTCCTGTGCCAAAAACAAAAGGCTGCAATCGTCTGCCTTCACAAAGATGCTGAAAATGTTTTGTGTATCTATTAAGGAACGAGGATCACTTCAGGAATGTCTTTGTTTGTATAATGTACCTAATTTCCTGCTCTCCATTTGTAACAGGGAGTGTACATATTGATTTAAATTTGTAAAGTTCCATTATCCTGCAGTATTGTTTTGCCTTGCCTAAAAGCTTTTGTAAACAGATGTTTTTTATGTTGAAAACGGCACATTTGTACTGTAAATGGCTGGAGTTTCAAATTATCCTTTTATTATATTTGCCATAGAAACATTTTGTGCTTTTGAGATTCTATCCAATAAAACTTGTCTTTTTTTCAGGATGCTGCACAGATAATGGGGTCTTTTTTCTGCAGGGATGAAACAAAGAGGTGCATGCCACTGATGTGTGTGTGCATTTTCCTAGATAGACATATGTGGCCACAGCGTGATTACTGTGTTGGGTCGCCAGTTTGGAGCAGCAGGTCTGCTGCTGCTAAATGGCCCCTAACCAGTGTTTAGTGAGTCCAACATCTGCTGCAGCTCCATCTTGACGGCACTTCACAGCTTTTGCCTTGCTCTTAGCCTCTTCACTGTGTCACAGCAGTGATGATGTCACGATATCAACCACCGAGTCCAGACACGGAATGGATAATAAATGAGTACATTTTCGATATTCTACATCTACATAAGTTGCTGAGAACTTAGTCTTCATCTCTTTTGTCTTTTAACTTCAAGTATCTTCAATACATTGACTCCTCTCTTCCACTTGCTTCCATTATAGAACACAATATCATCTGCAAATGTCATGGTCCATTTGAAACTATTTGTTATGTTGTCCATATCCATTTAAAATCTCAAAGCTGCACTCCACCCTTGACCACTGTCTTGCACTGTCCTCGTGCTTCTCTGCTACTTATGACTTAGTTATGCAGTACAATCATGACTTGGCAAGTTATGGTGATTTATCTATATTCCAAGAAACGATAGTTAGCCTAAGGCTTAAGTACCATTTCTGTCATTGTCGCTGCATATGCAGTATAAATCAATATGTACTGGTTTTGCTATTTTGCCTTAATTTTAGGAAATGTTTAACATTTTGTAAATTTTTGTGCAGTTTAAATTGTATTTAACCTAATGTCAGTTTGGCACTAATTGTCAACATTTAACATTTTACAGCTTTTTATCTCAACTGCTTGCTTTAATAATGGAAAATGTGAATTCTGTAAATTATGGTTGCACTATGGAGGAAGACAGACACAACATACAGGATGCATTTATGTGTGACTGACAGCAAATAATGATTCATTAGAGCCCTGTTTGATTGTGTTTTATAGACCGTTAAGAGACATGTCTCTGGTCTAATGTTTAATCTCTGATTTAAACACTGATTTTCATAGAAAGTCTACATCCCTTGTTCCCTTATCGATGGAAAAACTACAGTCACACAAGGTGACTCCACTATTCTGCAGCCGTAGTTTCCTCACAGGTGATTGTCTCTCTGCGCCTGAACTCTGAACTTCTGCTTTTTTTATCTGCTGCCGCAGTTTTTTCCTGATTGCCGCATGTTTTCATGACAGAGATAGATTCACTTCTCCAAGCTTCCTCTGCCTTAGTTATTGCCTCTCCATCCACATACGCTGATTACATCTGTTCACCTTCACACTCCCGCACACAGGTACACACTCAGCCTGCTGCTCTGCTGTACAACAACAACCTGTTCAATTTCAACAACACCTTGCCCTGCTGCTCCCATCCCCCCAACTCTGTATCTCCCTGACTTTGCTTTTTGCCCGCCGTGCTCATTTTACAACACACACACATACAGGCTGAAAATGTGTTCCTTTTCTTGTCCAAATGACCAGACTTGGGAATATTCCACCAACAGTAATGACCTAAACATCACCATTTGAGGAACATTTCATCAGCCCGTCACACCAACAGACAAGTGCAGTTGTTTTAAGCAGCTTTGTGTCACAAGTCTTTGTTGTCAAATACATTTTCTTACGAAGGATCAATGTGTCAACGCCTTACCAACCAAACTGAAAGCAAAAGCTAATAAGTATTACAGTACAGAATGTAATGGACTGGAAAAAAAGAAGAGGTACAGAGAATAAAATGGTTGGCACAAAATAAGATGGAGCTTAAGCTTAAAAGTGCTGGTATACTTCAGGGACTGTTGTATAGGATACTTCAACATTTACCAATTTAAAGAATTTGTAAAAAACAAACAAAAATAAAAACATCCACTCTGCGGGCTCTCATTTTATATAAACTCCATCACTTCATGTCCTCCATCACTACATCTATAAATCTTCTTTAGGGTCTTTTCTTCTTGTTCCAACCATCTCAACCACACTTGTCTAACTTTATCTCCAAACTGCTTCACCTCAACAGTTTGGAGATCTGGTCTGCCCATTTCTAGTACCATCCATCCTGGTCATTCCAGTAACAAAATCTCAGGAACTTCACTTCTGCCTGAGTCAACTCTGAACGTATAGTACATCATTGCAGGACTTTTGTACCAGCACTCTTAAAGCAAAAATTGCATCTTTGGTAAAAATAAACACAAACCGCTGCTCACTGATCTGA